CACACCCTCTTTCACCCTGGGATCAGACGTTCGCAATCCTGTAGATTTGAGTGCCTGTTTTTAAAAAAATAAGAGTTTGTAAATACAGAGTGCAAATAATGTTTATGCTTATTCCAACTACAAGTTTTCATTCCTATATATAAGAACTTCTACCTAAGACCTGAACATGTATATGACATTTATAATGTCACTATTACCCACTTTCTGGACAAGTTTCTCATTCTCTTTCTTTCACTGATTACCTTGAAATGAGCATGATTAAAAATTGGAAAACACAGTAAGAGAAACCATGTCAGTCAGAATCTATGTGTCAGATGACCTTTAAGACTATATGTCAACAATACTGTATTATTACCTATTATTGATTTTTTAAAAATTAAGATAAAAATATTAAACTTACTGTAATAAACTTATGAACAGGTATTTTCTCTTGTCCTTCTGCAATTGTATAGAACAGCAAATCTTCCAAGCTAGGTAACAGGCCCTGCTTTATTTTACTAGAGGGGGAGAAAGAATATAAAGTTAATCCTTATGTGAACATTCTAATGAATTTTAACTAAATTCATTACGTAATAACTGAACAGATGAACTTATCTCCTTACTGCGAGGATAGTCATAACAAATGCTTATCTACCAAAAACAAATCAGTATCACTAGAAACAATAGTGAAAATAAGTTAAAAAATGATTAATTAATACAGACATAATTTTTATTCCCAGGTCTTAAAATACTGATTACCAACTCTAGCTGTATCAATGCCTAGTCATCTGTTACGTTTATACCTTCTTATACAGCCCAGTACAATCTTGTAATATAAATTATAGAGTTCAGTAAATGTCCAGTAATAGTCAATACTTAGTTTAGTTCTTATATTTTTTCAAAATATGGTGACAATTTATATATTATTCAAATAGTTAACCTGATTCTAAAATCTGGGAGAAACAGCAAATAACTATTGAACAATATTTTAGATCAAGTATGAGTTCCTGAATTCTGGCTGTTAACAGTAGCTGTGTAACCTTGGGTATATTATTTCTGTGATTCTCTTTCCTTAGCTGAGAAAGGGGGTAAGAGCCCTACCTCACAGGGCTACTGTAAGGATTAATTGCTTCAACAGTCAATATCTTTAAAACATTGCCTGGCAGGAAATTAAGTACTCAACTGACAGTAATTGTACTTATTATTTCTAAAATGATCAAGATTTATATGTATAACAACATGCTGATCAAATTACATAAATCATAGAACTACTGGAATGAAGATCTTACTAGACAAAATACATTAAAAACTTAATTAACTAAAATCATATAACAATAAGATGCTATGACAATCTGTTAAGAAAAATTCTTTCCTAGCCATTGAAAAGGTTTCAAGTAAACACATTATAATGAGCCTGCTAACCATCGTTTTTTAAAAGAATTATTTTACTTAACTTTAATTATTTATTTATCTTAATTTCACCAGAGAGAGAATGAGAGGGAAAGTGAGAAAGCAAGCGGCCAGGTCCGGGACTCAAATGGCGGTCAGCCATGTGGGAGTCTAGCGCCATTAACCACCACACCACCTGCTGGCCCCTAAACATCTTTGTTGATCTGAAACTGAACCACATTATTCAGTGACTGTGGTAGGTATTAATACTGATGTCATGATTATAAATATAAAGCAGACTAATCTCCTACCCACCGATCACTATTTATTAAAATTACAGGAGGAAATATATATATAATATATGCATGTGTGTATGCATATATGTAAGTACATATGCATAAAATATTCAGGAAAGGACTTTACCTGTATTTCAATAAAGCAAGAGAGAATATGAGAGAAAAGAAGGAAATACTAACCTTCTTAAATTTCTAACTTAATAGTCAATTTTACACAAGCCCCTAAGTATAATGGCAAGATTTATAAGAAAATTATATACATTACTGTTGTTTTTAAAAAAGAAACTTACACAACATATGTTTGTTTAAAATTGTTTTCATACTGTTTTAAAGAGCTTTTCTAAATATCTGAATACTTCCTGGATTACATAAAGGTTATACAATCTCACTCCATACTTTAATAAGACCACATGAACTTAATTATTTCCTAATATAATTACTTTTCAAGTTTATTAATGGTCCATATATTTCCACCTTAGAAGAAAAAGAAATATATAACTCAGAGAGCATGTACACTTGTACATACACATATAAAATCAAAATATTAGTATTGGCTTTAACATCACTTATATTTGTTCTCAAAACAAATATAAATTTGTTTACATCAACTTTAGTTTTTTTTAAAAACCAAGCTTAAAAAACATGAATTTCAGGGCCAGTTGGTGCGCAGCAGTAATGCAACTAGGCCCACATGGAAAGGTCCTGGGTTTGCACCCGGGGGCCTATGCCTCCGATTCAGGCTGGCTGAGAAGGGGTAGATCACAGTATGGGGACCTTGTTGGGGATGGCAGTCTGACTCTCTCTCTATCATAGAAGCAATAAACTTTATAAAACATTTCACACCAATGTTTTTTAGAAACACAAATTGGGGGGTGATTTCTCGCTTTCTGTCTGGCTCTCTCTGTCTTTCTGGCGAGCGCCCGTGCCCTATAGCAAAAACCTCTCCGGAAAACAAAACAAAACAAAGAATTGTTATTTTAAAATGAAATGGCATATCCTAGATACATAATTATACCTTAAAACAATTTTTTTTGCCTTAAAACAATTTTTACTCCTAGACAACTTTTTAAAAATGTGCTTGAGATATTTTAATAATAACAGCTAAAATTCACTGATAACATATTCCAGGTCCTGTGCTATTATACACACATTCTACTTTAATCCTCCAATGGTCTTACAACAGAGGTACTATTATTGTTCAAAATACAGTACTGGTTCTGATACAGAGTAGAAACTAAACTCACTATTTATTAGAAAAACATGAATAATCCATCTTACAGATGAGAAAATGGAAGCTCAGATGAAGAAACTTCCCAAGGTCGCACAGTGATAGAGATGAATTAAGAACCTCAAAGTCTAAACCATTTACCACAATGCTACACTGGCTCTCTAACTTATTAACTAGTTATTACTTTAATAAGGAAAAAAACAAGTTTTCTAGGTCTTACCCTGATCTAACACCATTAAACAGAGCTCAATATTGATGATCTAATATTTAAAGAAAAACTGAACCAGCTGTCAAAAAATCAGTGGATAATAACATACCAATTACTTACAGAAAATGGTTCGTCAGATAAACTTCAGATAGCAGTAGATTATCACTTTAAAAACTGCAGAATAAGCTTTCTGTGTATTTATCACACCAGTAAATGGTATTTACTTTGCTTAAAAGCTATGTAAATAACATAAAACATACACTTCTTTAGCTTATGATACATAGTACAAAAAATTTAAATAACCTCGTTATTGCCGTAGCCAGCAAAAAAGGTAAATATTTACATGATTTGGGGCAACAAACTAATTTTTATCCATAAGAGAAAGAATTTAATCCATTCCTAAAAAATATGCTCACAAAATAAATTGTCAAAATTGACAAAAAGAAATTACTACCTATCTCACCATTCAAAAGTTCACACTCTGATCTTAGAATGAGTTAGCTTCAATAGCCTGGTAAACAAATAAATACAAATACTATTCCCCGTACTTTCAAAAAGTAGAAATTACTCCAAAGATCTTTCTTGCCTTACCCCCTGTCCTCTCCCCAATTTAATGTCTTTATGACAATGCTTCATAATAATATCTTTTGCTATTAAATTTTAAGAACTAAAAACTACAGATTCCAGTAACTATTAATGTATAGTAACTAGGAAACCCTTAAGAAATATTTAAGTTTCAATGACAAAAAAATAGATTACAGCAGGTTTTCAAATCATATCATCAACAATTAAGACAAAAACCCAAATAAGCTCTCTACATTCCCCAGAGAGAAAAAGCATATAAAATAGTTGTGATCAATCATCAACTAAAATAATGAAAAGTAAATTAAAAGAAAAGTCTTTGTTTTACACCATTTTATTTTCTCCTAACTTTATTTTCGCCTATTCCCTTTCTAGTTCTGACAATAAAATCCTTTTACCATCATATTGTGTCAGCTTTTAGCATTGCTTCTATTTTAGCCTCATAAAATTGCTTTAAGGGAAAAAAAAAATCCCATATACTTAACTATGAAAATGTACAGCATATGTTAGTCATTGTTTACTGCCTAGGAGAAAAGATGATCCATCACAAGGAGTAATTTTAAGAAAGCCATAGGATCCAGTCATTGGAAAATCACTTTACTGTGGCCGGATAAGGTAAAGCTTTTTCAGAAGTGGAATTTGAGCTAAACTTGAAAGATGGATAGGAGCTGGAAGCCTAGCAACGTGAGATTTCTGACAAACTGGTAGCACTCACTAGGTATTTACAAAGAACAGCAAACAGAGTATAAAAAATGTATGAATTAAGGCATCTGTTTCTACTTACAGCTATTACATGTAAACACCTACTTTTCATTCAGGGTTAAGAGAGATTTATATAAATCAACCAATAGATGAAGAGACCACCCTTCCAAAAAGTATATATATGGAATTTAAATTTAGGGCCAACTTCTACCACCATCAAAAGCTTTTCCTTAACTTCACTGATCAGTTTTCCCAACACCAAAGGCAACTCAGACTAATATGGTATTCCGTTCTCTAGCATTTAGCTTTGCACGATCCATTCCTAACTTATCTCTTATACTTCCTTGCAGTAATTGACCGCATCTTCCCATAAAGATGTCCTGCCATCTATTATTTATTTACTCACGTTTTATTTGTTTATACCTATTATGCCTTCTGTTTATAACCTTCTCGTTAAACCTAAATTTAAGGTATCAGAGTCATTCCAAACGTTTCACAGAATTTTGCTCAAACAGATTCTCTATATTCTTTTTAGCATTCACTTTGCTAGTATCACTGAATTTTGTAGTTTTGTTATACAGCTTTTTAGGTGACAAGCAGTGGGGGTACAAAGATAAATAACATAAGGTTGTTATCTAGGAGAGATAAAACCACAGCAGTGTGGCAAGTCTATAGTAGAAATTTATATATATATATATTTTGTATTTAGTTTTGTCTTAATGGGTGAAAAAAACCATGAAAGCATTTAGTTTATAATTAGGAACAATACTGCAAATTCACCTTCATCGGTTCAAAATCTTATAATAAAAAACTACCAAATGATAAAAGGAAAATGAAAAATTTTTACTAAGAACTGAAAAAAATGAACAAAGGAAATATCTGAAACAATTATACTGTTTTATGTTGTTAAATAATATTTTTCATCAGCTCTCTCCAAACTATTAATTTTCAAAGGCTAAGGTAGTATCTTAAAATTTTTTTCTTTTGAAACTTTGTGCAGCTCTTGAGACGTACTGTTTAGTAAGGTATACCCACCTTACTAGATCATAAAAATCTATTTTTCCAGCTGGG